TGAGCAGTGTAATTAATATTTAATAATTCACAATTCTGGTAAATTAACAGGGGAAATTTACTTGATGCCTCAATATTTAACAACAGCTGTGCAGGGATTAATTATACACTGTGCTTCAACTACACAGAGAATGAACCACACTGAATATATAGAACTCATAGTTTTTACCATATCTGAAATAAAGGTAAAAAGTAGCGGTATTGAATTGTAATTTCTTGCGATGTAGCGGTAATGTATTCCTCCTGAAAATAGTGTACGTAACTAACAGAGGGTGTGAAACTCTTCAACCTAAAATTAATTTCATCTTGGCAGTAATAAGGGGTGACATTGTAGTTCATCATCTTGCTGGTAGGTACTTCACACTTTCTGATCAGTATATTAGTCAGACAGACTCAGAAAACTGCCAACAGTTACACATTCCCGTGTCTCTTCACATTAGCTTCAGAAGCTTCTCTGGGTTCAGGCACCTCATTCTTCAGATAGACTACACAGATATTATTATTGTAACCTGCCTTAATCTTATTTTGTACTCAGCAACAAAAGTCTCAATGGACATTTTTGTTTGAGTGAACTTCTACAGCTAGTGAGTAGCGACTATGAAAAAAGATTGTGTGAAGACCCTGAAGTGCAAAAATGAAATATAAACTAATACAAATGAATTTGATATAATTTAATCAACCAGATTTGGCACTGGATCTATATACTCACTGGGCAGGCATGAAATAAAAGGAATCCTGCTAATGCTCTCATTTTCAACTTTTTCTTTAATGCCAACTATGGCAATAATAATCATTATCCATTATAATGGCTTCATTAGATTTCTCTACTCACATCAAGTTCAAATTGCAATGTTAATCATGATATGACATACACAAGGAATTTACAGATATTTTAATTCTTAACTATTGAGACCTGTCACCTTGCAAAATTTTTGAATTTTTGTTTGGAAAAAAATTGATTTTAATAACTACTTCATCACATTGTTTGTGAACCAAAATTGATTGAGAGTTTTTTGTTTTCTTTTCTCTCTAAAAGAATCACTGTGAGTGTATAGCTACAGCTGCTGTAGTTTTTAATCCAGCTGTTTGTTTGTTACAAATAATGCAGAATCTTAATGCATGAATTAAATTGCACAGAAGATGCATTATTGATTAACTGTCACACTAATTAACAAAGTTCTTTTTTTTTATCAAACTGTATAACTGATTCATTTTAAGAACAAGGCCGTTATCAAGCAGTTAAAAAGAATGTTAGACTTGTGGTAGGATAAAGTCTCTCAATCTGTGCTCTACCCAGTAATCGTACTAATCAGACACATTTTTAATTTTCATCTAAGCATAAAACTATGGATGTTATTTCCTCATTCTTTATATGCCCCCTCCCTGCCTGTCTGGATACCAGTTATTGCCGTCCAAATGATGGTAGTCTGGATATTACCAAATGCTTCCGAATAATGTTGTCTGGAGGGCAATATAAAGACAACTCATCCCTCCTTCTTTACATTGAACAGATGCCTGGTTTTTTGTTTAGCTCTGTCTTTCAACATTGCCTGAAAATTGATCTTTACAAAAAAGAAAAGCTGTTTACCTTGACCTCTGTTTAACATGCATTTTAAAATTGCTTTTAAAATGTGTAAAGGAATGGTAAATGCTAGGCTGTGATGCTCTGGGGAACAGAAAGTCCATAGAACAACTGGAGTAAATCCAAAACAAATAGCACACTAGGAGGTAAAAGGTCCCAATGGACCAATAATAACACACAGGATTGACAGAATAGATTGGATGCCAATACAAAGTACTGCAACAGATCAAAATGATTATAGGCATGAAATTCATCAACTTATAGATCACTGTAATATTAATGAAACTGCACATAATATGTGTTGTAATAAAACATAATTTATTTAACAAAAGTGATATGTTAATAATGACATATTTCATATTTATATCTAAAATGTTTATTTTATATCTTAAACCAAAATATTAAGTTATTAACAAAGAAAAGGAAGTTTTATCAATATGCATGTCATAAACACACAGAGTAGATATTATTGATATTTCAATATTCCATCCCATCATTAAACTGCATGCGGTCACTTTCATTCTGTCTTAGAAATTTTTTGAACAAAATTGAAAATTTTTTTCTCAAGATGGTTCATTATTACATATCATCACTTTCAGAGCACACCAAATCTCAAATGAATTAATCATTGTTTTCCAATATCCAGTTTATTAACCTAGTCTATATACCCGCATCAATTAACAAGGTTACTGCAATCATTATATAATTTTTACTTTAGACTTGCCCTAAATGTGAGAGTCAACAGTCATTCTAAATAGAAGTCTGAACTGTATTAATAAAATATATTTTATATATTGCTTAAAGTTTTTTTTTTTTTTTAGTTTTTTGGGGGTTTTTTGCCTACAGGCCTTTAGGGAGCCGACTGGGGTTTTATTGTGTGAAAACTACTATAGAGAAACTCCTTATTTTTATACCATATATACCTTACATTGACTTCAGTATACATGCCAAGTTTAGTGAAAATCTACCATCTGGTTATTTTTGACGGACCATCTCAAAATACAGATACATTTACTATAGGATTATATAGGAAAATACTATTTTTTCGCACTTCGGAGCAAATTATACACATGCTACTATAGACTTTTTGCTCAAATTATATTATTTGATGAGTAATTATATATTGTACATTTATGCAAGAAACACACAATTCTACCATCTGGTTTCCAGAGGGGCCATCTCAAAATGTTAAAATTCATGATATTTTCCTGTTCACATATTTATATGAAAAAAAAAAACAAAACAAAAAATAATTGTGAGATTCTCAATTTCCTATGTTTAAAATTTCAGGAGCATCTATTTTACACTTTTTATTTTATGACATAATTAATGACCCCTCTTAAAGAACTTCGGTTATTCATAATGTCAAAAACACACTATTACGACGTCTATCTACCCATCATTTGAAAAATTGTTTAAAGAATCAGTTATTTAAAAATGTAATTAGATTTATTAACCTGAGATTTCCTAAATTTGTTAATTTTTTAAATTATGTAAAAATAGCTGCTTTAAAAGAGTAAATATGCTTTATTTTTCTATGCTGCGGGAAGTATTGCACAATGAAAACCCCAGTCGGTCCCCTTAAATTGCCAAGTGGCATCCACAAATTTAGAGTTCTATATAGTATTATTTGTAAGAACTCCCTGTGCTTTGTAAATTTCTTTTCCTCCAATATAATAACAACAGACTAAATTATACTGAATTAATGACATCCAGTGTGACAGAATGTATTGTTTATGGTTTAGGCTATTCCTCAAGATGAAAGCTGTACAGTGTATTGAAGTGAAACCAGCAGGGTGCCACAAAATATATTGATTTTCCAAGTCTTTTATCTGCAATTTTCCTAAATTTTACGAAGTATTTGATTATTCTGTAACAGTTTCATGTAGTTAATTAAATCCTCCTACAAGACTTATAGCAAACCATTAATAACCTGTACAGTCAATAGAGTGCTGCAGGGAGTGTTGATTTCACGAAACTGTCTTCAGGGTCAAAACTCAAGTGAAATATTACAGTATCTACCCAGAAACAAGAGGCCCGAGGATCTAAAATCTAAAAACAAAATATCACTTTAGGTCAACTTTGAACTGACCTTGAGACCACACTGTTTGCCCCAGGGTGATGCCTTGAACAATTTTTAATCTACAACATATCCTTATCCTTATGCATATTAAGTTTGTTGATAATCTGCCTAGTGATTCTTCAAAAGATTCTGTAGCAACCTGAGTACATTTGTTTTCATTTCTCTAATTATCTCCCTTTGTTTTAAGGTCACATCATTATTTTCATAGTATAATTGAAAGCCCCTGGGCCAAGGATAGTACTCTGTGACAATTTTGACAAAAACTGCTTGAGGATTCTTAACATATGGCCTACATTCCAAAAAGTTGATGCACCCTGCACAAATGGCTATATAGCATAAGCTCTTTGAGCCTTTGACTCACAAGAGCTATTAAATTTATTGCACATTTTTTAAAAGAAACAGTCTATGCCATCTTCTGTCATATTTAAGGTCAACAAAATACTAAATTTATTCCATAAGGGCTTGATTGCAGGCTGCACTAGAATTAAATCTGACAGATTTTGCAGACTTGTCATCCATCATGGTGAAATACAGACTATTGATGCAGAAACTGTGAGAGTCTATATTTTATTTAGGATGCTGATGCAGCTTGATTATACTTAAGATGTGATGACAAATTTTAGAGAAGGAGCTATCCAGAGGTGTCTAACTCTCTTGAATAATGACCAATGGAGAATTACATAACAATTCTAATAGTCTATGAGCTGAATGGCATTTGTTAAAGGACTCTAATTTTTGTGAAATAAGACTATTAAAGTCTTTCATTTAATGTACCCATTTATCACAGATAGCTGTGTGCAATTTTGAACAGTATATTATTCCTGCACATGAAAAAATTTGACTACACAGAAAAATGAAGAAAAAACATCATTTATTTTCCCAAGCTTCCTACCAGATGCTACTGTCATAAAACTTATAAGCTAGATAAAAAAATAATAAATTGTATACGTACAATCAAAACTGCATGATTTATCTGTTAACGCTTACCAGGTACTTAAATGTGTATAAGGAAAATGAAATGTATAGTGGTCCAATAATAATAGACTGTAAAATTTAACTGCTAGCACTTCTTGACCTTAACGAAGGAGTGTTAATTAGTTCTACTTTAGAATGAGCACACCTGTATCAGGCCAAATGTCATCAAGGTAAATATAATACATTAATTGTAATGTCAAGCAATTAAAAGGATATTTCTTAGTTGCAAGGAGCATCACATACCAAACATCCTGAAATCCAGGACATTCGATCTACATATTGGGCTGATGTGGTACATAAATGACATTGTCTATGCAATTCAGGGACTGAATTACCCAATATTTATATCTTGATTTTCCAGATGATCCCAAGACAATCTGAGATGGAGTTGGAATCTAACGAGAAATGTCTGATGACAATTTTTGAAAAGAATTAATTGCAGCGGATTTGTGATAATTTCAATCACTCTGCAGAGGAAAGGGAAACTATTAACAACAACAAAAAAAGACAGTGATGTATTATTCATCTGAAGTTGAAAGACGACAGTATTGAAATCCTGCAGTGAATTCTCAGTGAGATTAAAAAACAAATTTGCCGAGACAGCATAGATCACATTTTTCAAGGCTGTCATTTGCTGTTCTAAGACAATCAGAAATTTCTAGCAGAACTAATCTGAGGATTAGGGTATAGATTCTAATTAGTAGTGACAGAAAAATCTGTCACCCACTTATCGGTGGCGATCTTACACAAATCTCTGACAATACCAATGACATTACAGTAGCAACTAAGCAAACAAGGAGGGATCTGGAACTTCATCAGAAAATCTCCGAGCTTTCTAGGATTCAGTAAAACAGTGATGGCTTCAGGATTACAAGAGCAAGGTATGGAAAACATTTCTTTAACAAACCCATGTGTTTGTCTTCAATACTGTTCATACCGATCAAGGAGAAAATTAAAATGTCTGCTTTAACACGTTCAGTAGATGAATCCCTTGATAAACAAGCCTCTTAAAAGTTGAAGTAAAAAAATATTATCAGACAAATGGCTGATTTGAAGGTCATAAAACAAAAAAGTTCCTGTTAAATGCAATTCTAAATCTGACGGATTCTCCATCAGCTTCATGTCAAATTCCATTTATCAACAATCTTTGTATTAGAAGGTAAAAATAAAAAAAATCATCAGTACATGTAATTTTTTTTTTTTTTTTTGGTTCTGAAACTTTTTGGGCAATAAGCAAGCATGATACAAGTATATTTTTCCCAAGTATTTTATCTTGTGTAAGATCCTCAGGACTTTGTGTATTTATATTAAGAATCTTAAGATTTTCATAAAATTTATCAGTGCTTTTCTTCACTCATTGTCATCTTTCAGTAATCAATAGTGTTTTCTTCCTCAGGCAATCAAGGATAGTTCTAATCACAATTTAAATGTGCAGAAGATAAAACAATATTTTCAAAGGGAATATTTCAGTAATGGATTAAATCAGATTGAAAGATCTTGCTGTGCTTCACCAGAGAGAGGAAATACCTTATTTATTGTCCATGAACTTTTCTGTGTTGATGAGTACAAATAAAACAAACATATCTCGGGAGTTTCCTGAGGAAAGAATGCAAATATTCAAGATGCGCTATAATAATTCCAGTTTATGTGAATCGGTGGATGCTCTTTGGTGGTGTGACCAGGAAACCAGCCTACTCATTCTCATGGCCATAGCGATAATATTTTGCGTCATTGGAAGTTTTGGCAACCTCATCACCATCTTAGCAATCATCTTCTCCAATCTACGTAACAACGTTAACTGCATTCTCATTGGGAGTTTAAGCATGGGTGGATTTCTGTACTGTTCTGTTATTCTGCCATTACAGGCAGTTATTTATTATCAAGTCCAGGACATCACCAGCGAAATCTTCTGTCGAGCCATGGCTGGTATGAGGTACAGTCTGGTGGGAACGATTCTACTTAACCTGAGTGTCATTGCGTTTTACAGGTATCTCAACATTGTCCACATAAATCTGTACCACAAACTGTCTACAACACGATCCCTCATGCTAGCTATCGCCATTAGCTGGATCTTCCCCCTTTTCTTCACAATACCTCCAACTCTATCCCTTTGGGGGTCCTTTTCTTTCAACAAGAAAGTTCTGGCATGTACTTTCTTTGACAGTGGCAGTTTATCTGATCATTCCAATCGTTACGCAACTGTGACAGCTGGATTCATCGTTCCATGTTTCTTTATCACGTTCTGCTACGCCAGGATAGGTTGCGTCGCTTACGGAAGCTCAAAACGAGTGAGTCAATGGAGTACCAGTACCACTCAAACAAAAGCTCTGCGCCTTTCTGCCATGATGCTGTGTATATTTGCCATATTTTTTGTAGGCTCATTTCCATATTTCACAGTGAATGTTTATGACAGACACTTTGAGCAGCCGATTCACCACCTGTGGACGACAGTTTTATGTTGGTTGTCGTATTGTTTAAATCCTGTGGTATACACAGTTATGGACAGGAATTTCCGTACAGCGTATAGAAGATTCTTGATGGGAGATTGTGAAAGGTCACCACTGAACAGGAATGGGTCCTTTCTTCCCCCTTTAACCCCCGTATGACATCAGAAATGACCAAATTTAGTTACCCTGGTCCTGAAGTTTTTTACTTAAATCTTATTTGGAGACATTATCGACAAAACTGGGTCAAGTGTAGAGACCTTGACACAATCGAACGAAGTATAATCTTTACTTGTAAGCTGCTTTTGTATAAGAAGAGATTTTAACTAAGACTTGTTATATTTTGACAGAGAGAACTGATATTAGATGATTGAAATTGCCTTACTCTGATAAATCAGAAATTAATTTTGAAGCACATGCTTAAAAGCTAATAATGTTTTTATCTGTTAAGTTATGTAATCCATGATGTTTGACTTGGTGCTACAGAAGTTTAAATGTTACAATTTTATTGAGATTCTGTTTACATGTTTTGATATTTTAATATTAAGTTTAATGTTAATACACTTTATCATCTTTCCTTATTCAGTGCAGTTTGTGGGCATGAGATATTTGTGTTTATATGTTTTTTTTCCCCTTATTGTTGAAAAAAAAATTGTAGACTTAATTTTGTTTGATGTTTTATTTATCTTTGTGACAGAGAGGATAATTATGTTGTTTCAGTATTAATTCATTTCTACATTCCAAACTGGAATTATAATCAAATAAATTTTGAAAACTTGATTTTCATAATTTTTTATTACATCTGAAGGGGTTTCAAACCTGTTAACATATGAAAAATATTAATAGCTTGTATCTAGTTTTTCTCGTGAGAGCAACAAACCTTGCAGTTACTTTCATAGCCAAATATTGAGTTCTTGGAAAAGCTGAGCCTGTGAAGTCTGGCCTGAGATAAAATGTCCTTGAAGCAAGTCAATGTCTTCCTAGTGCTTTTTTTTACCGAAAACTTTTTAAAAACCTTAAGAATGCCCCCCCCCCCCTCCCAGTTTGTGGGTGATGACCATTATAATAATTGGTCTAAGAAGTGCAGCCTTTCAAAAGAATGAGTCTTAATAGCAATGAAGCAATAAAAGGCTTAATATGAAGGCAGCTGTGCCACCCCATCATTAAGGGCTGCTGATGAGCCAAGGGAACAATGTTGTCCTTATACCTAAGATATTTCCTTACTAACTAGGACAATCAGACTCAGCCTCTGTCTTAGGAATACAGATAAGTCTATAACTAATTATACAGTTATTATTATACAACAAGACATGATTACAATAAACCTTTTAAGATAAAGGATGGAATTCATGACTTTAAGGATCAACTTCATGAAGGTTCATGAAATGATCTTAATAGGTTCAAACCTTGTTCATGAAGTGTTTTCAATGAATAAAAATCATAATTATATTCATAAAACCTGTTTTACGTTTAGTTCGTGAACAAATGATAAAGTATTTAAAAATCATGAAAAATGATTTTATTCAAAGAAGGAGTTATCTTTCTTTTTTGAAATTAAATAATTGAAAATATTAAATTACTCAGCATGCACGATGATTTTTGTTAAATAACTTATCTGTTATGTTATACAATTTTTAATATTAACATAATGATCGACATAAAAATAATGTTTTTCATTCAACATATCATATTCCAATATTAATAAATACTGTAGAACTTCTTGGTTGATGCCGTATATAATCTTTGTAAAATATTCTGAATGACCATGAATTTTTTTTTGTCTGTTTTCTTTGTTTTGTTTTATTTATTTATTTATTTTTTTTTTTGATTTTTCTTTCTTCTTTGTATCAAAGCTCACCCATACAGTACTTCTCAAAAATATGATAAATTGTAATTAATTTAATCCATCTTCATGACTAACGGTAGCATTAACTGCAGTTATGACAACTACATAAACTTAATAGGGAATTTTCCCTGTTGCTTTTGAAAAATTCAAACCAGAACTTTAAATTGTCATGAAATTTTATTTTACCTATTAGAACACCAAAAGCATACAATTTGAGAACAGAAAGAAAATTCCTACATCAAATTCCTACTTCAAAACTAATTCAAAAACATCTTTTTTTTTTTTTTTTTTTTTTTTTTTTTTTTTTTTTTTGAATTGCTGTTATTACATTAACTAAGATTTTCAATTTTTATCTAAGTTTTTTAATTTTTCCTTACAATTTAGTTAGCTACAAAAGTTTTCTATATTTGCATAGTTGAAATTCTATCTCATATCTTCCTTACAGTGTTTTAAAACTTTGAAACAAATCATCTGCAGCTACTACATCAATAAAGAGTCCTAAGATTTAATGAAAAAGTTTAATGATAAATTACAGCTGATAGTGTAACAGTAGAAATCTTGAGAAATATAAGTATGTGCTAGTAGTGATCAATTATAAGTAAAAACTAGATGAGATCTCGTTGCGAGCAACGAGTAGGTCTTCCGTCCGATTTTTCGATAAGATGAGATATGATTTTGACTATGATCTTTGTTAAAAGATAATAATATATAGACTTCCCTAATTAGATTTATTCTTTTGATTTATATAACTTTATCAAAAAACTATAGATGACATGCTTTTGGCCCCTCTGAGCCCCTAGTTTCAGGGGTCAGCCCCTTTTTCTTGATATCAATTGAAAGGTCTTGTGATTTTGAAAACGTTTTGTTCAAGAAATATTCAGAGATTTCTTTTCGTTGTGGAGATATGCTGAATGGAACTATTTAGGGGCCACCACTCCAAGTCCTTAATGGGGCCGTTTGACAAAAACTGAAAGGGTGCACATTGTTTAGAACATTATTCTGACCACCTTTTGTTCAGCATTGCATATCAAAATATTCCCCCTTTTCGAGATATAAAGCGTCAAAGATTTAGCATTCTGGCCCCTTGTGACCCCTTATTACGTAACGTATGATCAGAATCTTATCATATATTGTTGTAAAACGTTAAGATAAACATCTTTGCTTCAGTAATGTGTTACAGATTATTGATCGTTAAAGAGTTATAGATGAAAAACTTTTGGCCCCTCTTAGCCCTTAATTTGAAGGGTCAGTCCCCTCTTCTTGATATCAAATGAAAGGTCTCGTGAATTTGAAGACTTTTTGTTCAACAACTATACAGAGATTTCTTTTCGTTGTGGAGATATGCTGAATGGAAATATTTAGGGGCCACCCCTCCAAGTCCTTAAAGGGGCCGATTGAAAAAAATTGAAAGGGTGCATATTGTTTAGAACATTATTCTGACCATCTTTTGTTCAGTATTGCTTATCAAAATATTCCCCCTTTTCGAGATATAAAGCGTCAAAGATTTAGCATTATGGCCCCTTGTGACCCCTTATTACGTAACATATGATCAGAATCTTATCATATATTGTTGTAAATTGTTAAGATAAACATTTTTGCTTCAGTAATGTATAACAAAATATTGATCGTTAAAAAGTTATAGATGAAAGAATTTTGGCCCCTCTGAGCCCCTAACTTGAGGGGTCAGCCCCTTATTCTTGATATCAAATGAAAGCACTTATCATTCTGCACAACTTTTGTTATATATGTTTTAACAAAATATTTACAGGTATAAAGATATGATAGAAAACTTGTCAAATTTTGCGAGATGCTTGTGAGCCTATTTTTCGAGCCCAGGCGAGCTTTGGCGCCTTTTGCGCTGGAAAGATATGGACGCAAAAAAGCATATCTACAATCCCTCCTCTACCTTCACTGAGAATCTCAACTCAATATCTTTATTCGTTTTGGAGTGATTACCAGGACAAGCCGACCCTCTGAAAATCAGATAATTGTCTATATCTCACGACCGGAAGTGACGTCATCAATATAAAAAATTTCCAATAAGGTTCAGATCAATATCTATCAGATCTGAAAGTTTCATGAAAATCGACCGAGTCGTTTCCGAGAACTCGCGTGCACAAAATCGGTAAGAAAAAAAAAGAATAATAATAATAACTAGATGAGATCTCGTTGCGAGCAACGAGTAGGTCTTCCGTCCGATTTTTCGATAAGATGAGATATGATTTTGACTATGATCTTTGTTAAAAGATAATAATATATAGATTTCCATAATTAGTTTTCATTCTTTTGATTTATATAACATTTTCAAAGAGCTATAGATGGCATGCTTTTGGCCCCTCTCAGCCCCTAATTTGAGGGGTCAGCCCCTTTTTCTTGATATCAAATGAAAGGTCTTGTGATTTTGAAGACTTTTTGTTCAACAACTATTCAGAGATTTCTTTTCGTTGTGGAGATATGCTGAATGGAAATATTTAGGGGCCACCCCTTCAGGTCCTTAATGGGGCCGTCTGACAAAAATTGAAAGAGTGCATGTTGTTTAGAACATTATTCTGACCATCTTTTGTTCAGTATTGCTTATCAAAATATTCTCCCTTTTCGAGATATAAAGCGTCAAAGATTTAGCATTCTGGCCCCTTGTGACCCCTTATTACATAACATATGATCAGAATCTTATCATATATTGTTGTAAATCATTAAGATAAACATTTTTGCTTCAGTAATGTATTACAAATCATTGATCGTTAAAGAGTTATAGATGAAAGACTTTTGGCCCCTCTCAGCCCCTAATTTGAAGGGTCAGCCCCTTTTTCTTGATATCAAATGAAAGGTCTTGTGATTTTGAAGACTTTTTGTTCAACAACTATTCAGAGATTTCTTTTCGTTGTGGAGATATGCTGAATGGAAATATTTAGGGGCCACCCCTTCAGGTCCTTAATGGGGCCGTCTGACAAAAATTGAAAGAGTGCATGTTGTTTAGAACATTATTCTGACCATCTTTTGTTCAGTATTGCTTATCAAAATATTCTCCCTTTTCGAGATATAAAGCGTCAAAGATTTAGCATTCTGGCCCCTTGTGACCCCTTATTACATAACATATGATCAGAATCTTATCATATATTGTTGTAAATCATTAAGATAAACATTTTTGCTTCAGTAATGTATTACAAATCATTGATCATTAAAGAGTTATAGATGAAAGACTTTTGGCCCCTCTCAGCCCCTAATTTGAAGGGTCAGCCCCTTTTTCTTGATATCAAATGGAAGGTCTTGTGATTTTGAAGACTTTTTGTTCAACAACTATTCAGAGATTTCTTTTCGTTGTGGAGATATGCTGAATGGAAATATTTAGGGGCCACCCCTTCAGGTCCTTAATGGGGCCGTCTGACAAAAATTGAAAGAGTGCATGTTGTTTAGAACATTATTCTGACCATCTTTTGTTCAGTATTGCTTATCAAAATATTCTCCCTTTTCGAGATATAAAGCGTCAAAGATTTAGCATTCTGGCCCCTTGTGACCCCTTATTACATAACATATGATCAGAATCTTATCATATATTGTTGTAAATCATTAAGATAAACATTTTTGCTTCAGTAATGTATTACAAATCATTGATCGTTAAAGAGTTATAGATGAAAGACTTTTGGCCCCTCTCAGCCCCTAATTTGAAGGGTCAGCCCCTTTTTCTTGATATCAAATGAAAGGTCTTGTGATTTTGAAGACTTTTTGTTCAACAACTATTCAGAGATTTCTTTTCGTTGTGGAGATATGCTGAATGGAAATATTTAGGGCCACCCCTTCAGGTCCTTAATGGGGCCGTCTGACAAAAATTGAAAGAGTGCATGTTGTTTAGAACATTATTCTGACCATCTTTTGTTCAGTATTGCTTATCAAAATATTCTCCCTTTTCGAGATATAAAGCATCAAAGATTTAGCA